AAAATTCTGTCATTAATTACTCACCCTCGTGCCGTTCCAAACCTGTAAGACCTTCGTTCATCTTGAGAACACAAATTAAGATATTTTTGATGAAATCCGAGAGTTTTCTGACCCTGCATAGACAGCAATGTAACTCTAATGTTCCCAAGTCCAGAAATGTAGTAAGGACATCGGTAAAATAGTCCAGGTGACCTCGGTGGTTCAACCATAATTTTATGAAGCTTCGAGATGCGTTGTGGTACTCTCATGAATGGCGGCAGACAGTAGGCACGTTTCCATTACAGATTTGCGCAAAACTTTGGCGATATTTTCTGAATGTCGATAAAGTATTGCGAAATGACGGCGTTTCCATTAACCAATGTTATGCGGCTAAAACGGAATCTTTTGGCTCTCGCGATAAGTCATGGCAACGGATTTTGGTGGGATTTTGACGGATTTTGGCTATATTTATTCAAAGGAGGCTTATGCATGTATCTTTACAGAAGCAGCAAAGAGAGCCGCTTCAGAAACGTGCGTGGCGCATCTGGAATAAACCATAGACTGTATAAAAACATTAACACAAGCATTGAGTGGCCGTAATCAGCTTCAGTGACCGTATCAGAGCCACACTGCACCGCAGACGTGTGCAATGTAAATTGTCTAAGTATTAATAGTAGGGAAAGCCCCTTATACTGGAGCGTGGCCACTTATGAAGTGTTTCTTGGAGGTTATAGTACATTGAAGAATGATCTTATGACTTTTTACATACGCCATGTGACCTGTAAATGCGAAAAAGCCGTTTCCATTGCAGTTTTGCGAATTAATCCTTTTTCGCATTGCCTGAAAAACCACCTCATGTGAGCGTAAAAACTTTTTTGCGATATATGGCCGTTTTTGCGAAATTGGCGCGTTTCCATTAGGCGTGTTTTCAATTTGCAATTTCAATTTGCGCAATTTGAAGGGTAATGGAAACGCACCTAGTGACGCAGAGAAGAATAATTGTTGAATAAAGTCATTCTTTTTGTTTTCTTTGCACACAAAAAGTATTCTCGTAACCTTGAACATATCAGTTGCATTGCTGTCTATGCAAGGTCAGAAAGCTCTCGGATATCATCAAAAATATCTTAATTTGTGTTCCGAAGATAAACAAAGGTCTTAGGGGTTTGGAAAAACATGAGGGTGAGTAATTAATGACAGAATTTTCATTTTTGGGTGAACTATCCCTTTAAGTCATATTTGTGTCTCAAACGGACTTATTTAAACAGTTTACTTGCTGTTTTGTGGTAGATGGATGTTTTGGATCCTGTTAGAGCATCTCTCACGTCTTTTATGTGTCTCTGAACTCCACAGGCCGAGCCAGCCTGCATGGCAAGTCATCTCTACGCATTGAGAGGGTTCGCTCGGAAGACCAGGGCTGGTACGAGTGCAAGGTCCTGATGCTGGAACAACAGTACCACACCTTTCACAATGGCAGCTGGGTGCACCTCACAGTCAACGGTGAGTCTCTGACCTAAGATCAGTTTTAGTCTTAAGTCACTTATAGGGGTCAGTTTTGTTTTTTAGCCTGAGGAAGATGAGCCTGGATCAGACTGAGAAAGTCGGGTTCATGCCAGAACATCCTGGAAGTGTCAGAAGTGTTGTGATAAAAAAAAGTTCTAGCTGCAAGTCTGTCTTTTGGCAGTAAGTCGGCTATTTGGTTTTACATTCTGAGGCATAGCCCTAATGATGCTTTTCTCAGTAGTAGTTTGGGGTCAGTAAGTCTCTTATGCTCAAAATGTTGCATTTATTTGATCAAAAATACAGTAAAAATTGTATTATTGTGAAAAATTATTGCAATTTAAAATAACTGTTTTCTATTTGAATGAAATATGAAATGTAATTTATTTCTGTGGTGGCAAAGCTACATTTTCAGCATCATTACTCCAGTCCTCAGTGTCACATGATCCTTCAAAAATCATTCAAAATATACTGATTTGGTGCTTAAGAAGCATTTCTTATTATTATCGATATTGAAAACAGTTGTGCTGCTTAATATTTTTGTGGAAACCATTGTAGTTTTTTAAAAATATATATATTCTTGGATTAATAGAAAGTTGATCAAACAACATTTGTCTTTAATGTCACTTTTGATCAATTTAATGCATGACTAAAAATGAGTGCTTTTACTACACATTTAAATATTACAATAATTTTTAAATATTACAATTTAGCCCCATTGCACTACAGGTGTCCCGAGTTCGAATCCCGGCTCGTGGACCTTTCCTGATCCCTTTCCTATCCCACTTCACTTCCTGTCAGATACAGGCCAAAGGCCAAAAATAAATCTTAAAAGAAACAAATATTACAATTATTTCTTAAAAATAAATACATACATACATTCATGCATGCATCCATCCATCCATACATACATAAAAAATGCCATTTCCTTTTTCCGAGCTATTTTTCAATTACTTTTATCTGGTACGAAGGTTATTTTAAATAGTTTTTTTTTATGTGTAATGTTTTGCTTGAAAAGTGATGGTAATTTGTTGCAAGTGTCCAAATGGGAAAAGTCCAGTGTGTGTTTTACATTGTGCAGCTTATTGTAAGTGTGACAGCGATCAAACAGAGAAAACCCGTCCATGCACTGTTCTGATTGGCTGTCGCTGCTGCATCATGCCTGGTACGACACAGTGTCAGTCTTCCTGTGAACGCATCATGTCACTGTGCCTTCTAGATTCCGTTGCCTAGGTAGCAGACACCCAAATCCCCAAACCGGTTACAGCACATTAACTCCAGCTCATTTCTGTGTGAAATATGCTCAGCCTCTTATAATAGACAACAGCTGTGAATCAGATAACCCTTCCAAATATGCAGCTCTGTGAATCTTTTTATTTGATCCTCAAGTTTTTGGAGGATGAAAGGGTTTCCGTCCTCCCTCATGCCCACTGCAATGTCGCTCAGTGACGTTGTGTATGTGTGTATCCATTTGTGTTGTTGCTAGTCTCAAATCCAGCAGTTCAGCACACAAGTTGGAGTGTTGACAGGCCAGTTTATCAGCCGGGTGTGGATGTGTGTGTGACTGTGTGCCTTGCGGCCCTGTGTGACTAACACACTAATATCAGCAGTGTTTCTTCTATGAGACCACAACCAGTCTGTCTAGCACTGAGAAAAGCAGCATGGTATTCAGAGTGCACAATACCAGTCTATTTTACACAGTTTAATCAGAGACTAAACTGTACTTTAGGGTGTACTGTAATATGTTTGCGTCTCATTTGTGTGACGGACAGGTCTTCGCCCCTCATTAGCAATTGCTGCTCTCTCAAAGGTGTTTCTGCAGGCTTTTGTGAAAAGAAAAACCTTTACAAGCATAAAGCTTTTTGCATATCTCTATGAATATATGCATGGGGCCGGCTGATGAAGTTCTTTCTGAAGGGTATTGTGTGGAGTGCTGGCATGTTGGGGGCCGTTTAAGGGGCGGTTAGCGCGGCGAGTGAGTGGCTCTCAGGAAAGAAATTAGCTCTATGTTAGCTGCTGTCGCTGTGTGCCTCAGAGCTGTTGTTTTACAGTTCTTGTGATATTTTCGCACACACTCTCACACTTGTGTCGCTTGAGGTGTGAGGCACATGTCAAAAGTGCTAAGCAGGGGGAGAGGAAGTGATGTAATGGATCATCAGTGCAGCAGGGTTGAGCGCTTATTCATACAGGTGATTGTTGAAGCAACACACTGGAGTGCACATCTTTTGATCTGTGTGTTTTAAGCAGTAACTCAAACAAAAATGAAAATTAATTTACTCACTCATGTTGTCAAACCTGTCACTTTATCATCTTTCTGCTGTGAAACACAGCATGATAAAGAAATAGGTGGCACTATATTTCAAAGGGCGCTGTGTACTGTATTAATATGAAGGAATTTTCCATATTGATTTATTTTCTTAGTGTTTTTTTTAAACAGGAGTTTTACCTGTATTTTGAATTTTGCACTCTATTATGATATATTTTTTTGAATTAACGGAAATGTCTGTAAAATGTATGGATAATGTGCTGGTTTTTTAAATACATTATTATTATTATTATTATTATTCATCAATCATTATTTTTTTTTATATTTAAAATTGCTATTTATTTTTTAACATTTTTCAAATTATTTATAAATACATATTTATACTACAATAATATATACTATATACATTATTAATTTACTGTATGTAATATTTTAGTATGAATAATAATAGTAAAATTAACAATAATAATAATGATGATGTTATGTGTCACACCCATGAACTGTTTGTGTGTGTTATGCTCCCCGTGACCTAGTTTTCCCTTGTTAATTGTTTGAGTTCCAAGTGTGTCTCGTCATCCCCTCATCAAGTCTTGTGTATTTAAAGTGAGTCCTGTCCACAGTTCCTTCGTCTGGTATTGAATGGCGTATTTCCCCGCTACGTGTGTGTTCCTGGTTACTTTGATGTCAATTAAAGTCTGTTCGTTGGAAGTTTACTCCTCGTCTCCTCATTCCTCGCTCCGTGCTCCTCACAGTAGCGCATCGTGACAGAATACCAGACCAAAACAGTAACCTCCGTGTCTTCCCTCTGTTTTTGTTTTTCGCGTTTTACTCAGTGTTTTGTTTCCGTTGTGTCCATGGATCCCCTCCTTCGCCCTGAATACCTCCTCCTCCTGCTGGAGCAGGGGGAAAAATCACTTGAGGGCCACACCAGACTGTTCCTGGTCCTCGCCAACCTCTCCAGCTACCCGGATGACGCTCTCTGTGCATTCAATGACGCCAGTTTAAACTCCGTGTACAGAGCGTCGTTGTCCGAGGAAGGCTCTCGAGCGAATTTCGCCGCATTTGTGGAGTGGACCCTGGCGAGACACGGATCCCCATTCACCGTCTGTCCCGAGGAGGATCTCGCCATTGCCACCCCGGATCCAGTGCCCAGCCCACCATCTCCCCACTGCTCCCATGCTAGAGCCCACCGCTGACGGAGAGCCCGAGCTCGCCGCGGCCGACGAGCCGTTGCCAAGTGACGTCAGTCAAGGTTCAAGAGCCGGCAACAGAGCCCGCCACGAGGGAGAATGCCGTGGACAGAGAGAGCACGGAGTGGAGCTGAGGGTGAGCTGATTATACAGCTGGGACTGCTGGACTTCGAGGGGGATCTTATAGACAGGGAAACAGAGCTGGAAGCTGACTTGCCCCCTCTCCTCTCTCCTTCGTCCCCGCTGGTCCCGTCCAGCCCTAAGTGGCCTCCTGTTTCCCAGTCCAGCCCAGAGAGGGTTCCAGTCCCCAAGTTTAGCCCAGAGAGGGCTCCAGTCCCCGAGTTTAGCCCAGAGAGGGTTCCAGTCCCCGAGTTTGGCCCAGAGAAAGTTCCTGTTCCCATGTCTAGCCCAGAGAAAGTTCCTGTTCCCATGTCTAGCCCAGAGAAGGCTCCTGTTCCCACGTCCAGCCCTGAGAGGGCTCCTTGTTCCAAGTTAAGCCTGGAGGCTCACAAATGCCCGCCTACCCACCCGCTCCTGCCTCCTCCTCCACTGTTGTCTGGCAGTTCCTCTGCTCGCCCTCAGCCCACCATCAGCACGGTGCGAGCTCCGCGGGACTGCCATCCTCCAGCGTCGCCGTGGCTGGAGTATCTCTTGACTCCGCCTCCAGCCTCTAAGCCCCGGACTCCGCCTATGCTCATTGACCCGTCGGCTCCACCATGGCTCCTAGCTCCCTCCTCTCCGCCGTGGCCCGGCAGTCCACTAGCTCCGCCGGGCTCCCTCGTCCCTCCGGCTCCGTCAGGCTCCTTCATCCCTTCGGCTCCTCCTCAGTCCTCTGTCGCTCCGGATCCACCACGGCCTTTCGGATCCACGCCTCCGCGTCAGTCGCCGGCGCCATCTGCTCTGCCTTGGCCCTCCAGATCCTCCCCATCGCCCTGGCTCATCGGCTCTCCATCGCCGCATCAGGCTCCTCCGCCGCCATTGGTCGGCCCCCTGGAGTTGTCGACTCTTCCTCCTCCATGGCTCCTCCCTCCGTCGGCTCCACTGTGGGTCATCTTCATGGCTGCGGCCTGGGTCCTGCCCGGCTCCTCCTGTTCCAGCTCCAAGTTCTTCCCTGGCTCCTTCCTCCTGCAGTACCACCCTGGACTCTCTTCATCGTCTTCCTCCCGGGTGTCCATCCTCCTCCCGAGCCTCCGTCCCTTCCTATGTTGTTCCTGCGGCGCGAGGACACGCCTTCCGGGAGGGGGGCGATATGTCACGCCCATGGACTGTTTGTGTGTGTTTTGCTCCCTGTGACCTAGTTTTCCCTTGTTAATTGTTTATTGAGTTCCAGGTGTGTCTCGTCATCCCCTCGTCAAGTCTTGTGTATTTAAAGTGAGTCCTGTCCATAGTTCCTTCGTCTGGTATTGAATGTCGTCTTTCCCAGCTACGTGTGTGTTCCTGGTTCCTTTGATGTCAATTAAAGTCTGTTTGTTGGAAGCTTACTCCTCGTCTCCTCGTTCCTTACTCCGTGCTCCTCACAGTAGCGCATCGTGACATTAAGTTAT